AGGAGTCAAAACCCCAGAAGGTCCCTTTCAACCCTGTGCCCACCCTGCAACCCAAAAAACAACAGCAAAAACCACCCAGCCCTGGGAGATGCCTTCCTTTCTTTCTTTCTATGATCACTTTTTCTTCCTGGTTCTCATAGCCATGAACATTATTTGCATTGCCAATTGCAGGGAACGTTGTTTTTAGGAAAAAAACCCCATAATCCAATTAACATTTCAGTTTGTGGCCTTTACTACTTAACACTACTCCTTTAAATAAGGATATTACCATTTCCTTATTAGACTTGTCAAGTATCTTCTCTTCAAACCAACAGGTTAAAATTCCATGGAAGAAGCAGGTGCACAGGCATCATGAACAGCCCCACACTGCAGCACTCTTAGCCAGTGCTGAAAACTCCAGCTTCGTCTCCCGCTCACAGCCAGCCCTACATACATTTGGACACTCGCTATCGTTCCAAATGCAGTGGCTTGAGGTTTGTGCCAGGTAAGAGAGATGAGAATCTGGCTCACAGTCTGCATTTCTAACTCTTCACAGAACAAGAGAGTCCAAATACATTTTAGTTCTTTATAGCAGCTCCTCACAGACAACTAGATCTTTATCACAATAAAAACAGAAGGCGCTGCCACCGAGTGTAATTACATGCTACTATAGTTGACTGTTGTCTTCCAGAAATAGGAAGCAGTTTGAAAAATGCATGGCTTTCTGCTTGGGCCACACTCCGAGTACCTTAAATAAAAGGTTACCCCTAATCCTTGTGCAGACACAACGGGGACTCTGGTACTGTAGGGCTGAGCAAAGCTGGGGAGTGGGCTTCAAGATGTGCCTGGATGGTAGTCAGCCTTCTGCACCGGTGACTGGCGGTGGGTCACCACAGCAGGAAGGCAGGTGTAGGCCCTGCACTCCTTTCCCACCACCCAGAAGTTCATGACTCGGGGATGGGGACAGAGTTTAGTTTCTTACAGTTATTTCTCCTCTTCAGCCTGCTAAGAACCCAAAATCCCGAGGAGTGTGCCCTGCGGGGTTCTTCATTTCAGATGGCAGGCTACCGCTGCAAAATTACCCACAGACAGCGCTCGGCACCGCAGCAAGCGAGGACACCCTACTGTTGCACAGCCCCCCCAAAAAGGAACGGGGAGGGGGGTTGCATATCCACAGCTGCATCCGCGCTCACGCAGCCGGCTGGGTGAAGCATCCTGTCTACTCCAAAGGTACATCAACCGTCAGTCAGCCTTCAGGACAAGCAGGTTTCATATATCCACTCGGTCCTGCATTCCTGATTCCTTGAAGAGGCCTAAATTAGGACTGTTGTACATATCCTACGATCCCTGGCAAAGTCAAGCATTTTGGTAAATGCATCATTATCAGGCAGAGACTTCTTTTGAAAATGGACTGTTTTCTCTTACTCTATAGCTAAAGAAAAGGCAGGTTATTGCTTCTTTTGAAAGCGCATTTGAAAGGAATAAAAAAGGTGACGACTGGAGTACAATTATTGTGCTAAGTAATTATCAATAAATTAGAAAAAGTACAAGAGACTCAAAAAAGCCACATCAAGATGAGTAAACACGATCTGGAAGAGGCGCCTATGAATCACACGCCATCTCCCTATTACCATAAAGTAGGAATGGTTCATACATTTTACTACAAAACTCTGTTGAAGTGGACACAGATCTTTATAAACATAAATTGCACCTCCCCACCTCCCAGGATGGGAAGCATCATCTCCATAAGGCAAAGCTCAGGGAGCAGAAGCATGCCGTTCACCCCGGCAACACCAGGAGGCTGCAGCAGAGCTGGAACAGAAGGCAGCCCCTCACCTCCCATTTTGTACACTAACCACAAGATCATCGAACGTCACCCATTTATTTCATCTCCTCACAACATTTTTCATCGTTATTTCTGTTTCTTTTCTCAGTGAGCAATTTTTTTTTGAGAGCGACCTGCAGTGAATCCGAGAGCCCCAATGCCTTTAGAAAAGGTGAGCGATGCAGCCCAACGGGGCCACAAGACATGGACAGGTGTTCCACGGACTTCGTTAAACGTCTGGCCCATCACACCGCAGCCACTGCCAACTGTCGTTCAAGGCAAGTGAACATGTTTCTTCCCCAAAGCCCAGAATTTCACAGCCTTCAGGCAGCGGTTCTGCAGAGCAGAACTGTGCACACTGTGGGCACGTCACACTAACAGCACATGAAAGAAACCGTGACTCAAATTTCAAGGGAAATATTATTTGCTGCTCTGGAAATCATTCATGTTGTTAAAGGCCTGTTCCTTCAAAAGCAAGTCACCATCACTAAGCCCACCCCTCCAGGACTGGGGTTATTCACAGAGTTTACGTCATTCTTTGTCCCCACTCCAGGGATCTGTTACTTTTGTAAGAGTTCTCTCCCTCTGCTGTTTCCCCACTCCATCTCCAATCAGTACTTGCCTCTCTCCTCATCCTGCTGTCTTGCTGTTTCTAGTCTCTTCCCCTCCTTTCTTTACAGTCATTTCCATTTTCTTTGAAATGTTTTGGCATTTAATGCTGGCTTTATTCTTCCTTCTCCATCTGCTGCTCTTGTCTTTCTAAATCTCTTCTGGAGCCTTCTCTTGGGGGAAAGCAAGAGCCACGTTTTCCACTTAATGCCTCCTCTTTCTGGATTTCAGTTCCCTTCTTTTTCTTTATGGACCTGGAATCAGACAATCCTCCTGCCCCTGGAAGCCGATACACCAGCCCCACAACAGCTGGTACCATGCTGCATCCTATCGCCAGCATCTCAGGAAAGGCGCTGTGAAGGATTTGGCATTTCTCCTCTATACTGCGAGAGCAGTGCTACAGAAAGCAAAATACCGGGTCGGCTTTACTCCCCTGCCTGGTGCTCAACATTTGTGCGAACTTCTGACAATGAAGACTTGCTCCACCAGCTACAATCCAGTTTTAATGGGAGTTTCTCCCTCCTTGAGCGTTTTCTTCTCTGTAAAACCTTCATTATCAGGACTTTGCGGGAACAAAGGTGAAATAACCAAACGGAACCAGTAACACTGCCCTTACACAAAGCTCCCCTGTATGGTCTTTCCAGCATAGCTTCATTTGGGACTTAAAGAAAGGCTCAACTCCAAGACGTGCCGATGTGTCTTCCCTGCCCTCTGTCCCCAGCCAAGGGAAGATGACACAAGCATTTGCCAGTCAGAAGTGCAGCAACAAACTCCTTGTGGGAAACATTCAGCCACAGCTGCATGTGTACCTTTTAACTAAACCAGAAGACATACTACAAACAGATCCCAGATTAACTAAATTTGAAGAGAATGGTGAAAAGGTTTATTCTATTATCAATGTCCAACCTTCAATCCAACACCTGCCTTTCTGTGAAAGTTTTCCTCATATTTGTTATTAGCCCAGGTGTTTAATTGTTTGTTATTGGTCCTTAGCACTGGGAATGATGCCTTCTAAAAGCTTTGGCTTTCTGAAAGGCTAAAGGAAAATAAACACCAGCAAGTTAAAAAAACAACCCAACCAACCTTGCAGCCAGCAAGATGGATTTGGCAAAGAGAGGTAAGATTTAAGTCACAAAAAATACAAACCTTGTACAGTTACAGTTGCCAGTGCACAGAAATAAAATAGAAGAAATGAATCATTTATGGGGGATTAAAAAAAAAAAAAAAAAAGGCTAACAAGAAGGTTAGCAAACACCAAAGCTTGTAACAGTCTGAAAATACGAAGCTCCTCACTCCCACCCTAAGCTCAAAAGACACAGCACAAAGTCAGTAGTTTCTTGGTTTTGTTTTTCACGTTTCACACAGCAGCTCTCCCCTGGTCCCAGGGTTTTTGGTTTATGCAATGCCCAGAGTACACCTGACTGATGCTCCAACCGCAGCTACCGAAGCAGGGGAGTGGGCACCTCTCAAGGTTTTTTCCACTGTTGTTTTTAAACAAATAAATATTTTAAACACAAGGCATATTCCCACAGATTTATTACAATCTAAGAGGGAAACCCGTATTTAACAAGATATAACTTATCTGAAATGTGCTCAGCTACAATGCAAACAGAAACCAAGAAGGAACACGATACGCTCACGCTGCCCCGCTCTCCGGTGGCAGCTTGACGTTTATGGTCTCCTACTTCCCATCCGAAAACAGCAAATTCTCGTGGCTACTAGCGATTATATCCAAAGGCATGACACTTGCACCAGCACAGAAAGTGAGAACAGGGAAAATAATTCACTCAGCTAATTATTTGAAAGTTATTTGCAATGATGACAACAACAGATTTTCAGCTTGAAGCCTGATTTGAGATGACCGACCCTTTCAGTATTTCTAAAGGAATTATGTATTATAAAACTAATTCAGTGAAAAATGAAAGTAAAAATAGAAGCGATGAGACATCCTCTAAATAAGCAAAGCTGCTTTTACAGCATGTGAATAACTGAAGTGTGGTAAACATACCACCGTTATAAATAACATCCAGCCTTTTGACATTATTCTTTAGTTAATTATTTCAAATTCTTTATAGGCATTAATGAAGCAAGCCTCACGGTCCTCCTGCAAAGGGAGAGTGCTACTCCCATATGCAGGAGGAAAAATGAAGATAGACAGACACAGCAGCGGCACACTCGTACAGAGAATTCAGGAGGTCTCATAGTGTAAGAGAAAAATCACCCCCTCGCCCAGATGAGGTGCTTACTAAGTGACCAGTCTGTAGGATTTACACATCATTTCATTTTACACAAAACCTTGCATCAACAGTTTTAAATTTAACCATGACTAGCAAATGACCAAGACATGTCAGCTGATAAGTAAGGCCCAAACAAATTCTTTTTAAATGGAAACACTAACGATTTCTCCCTGCCGAGGCACTTTTATGTTCTGCTTCAACACCTAATCATAAAACCATTAAAAATAACATTTCATGTTAAAAACGCTAGCAGCTGCCGAAGTATCATACACAGCACTTTGTCAGATTACAGATAAAGAAACCCCAAGGCCTAGCACAACAATGATTAATAAGTAATTGTGTCTCATTACCTTTGTGGTCTTCTTGGGCCAGCTGACCACAGGGACACCCGAAATGGCAAGATTTTGGTCATCATCAGCGTGTTCCTTCAGTATGTTCTGTTGCAAATGAAAAGGCCTTTATTAACCAGAGAAATAAGTCTCTAACTGAACAGTGCAGAGACTTAGTAAAGACAATACTCCACTCCAATGAAGGACAGAGTGACAAGATCTCTGCAAGCTACTTCTGCTTCCCAACGTCCGGTTCCCAGGGAACCTCTTGCACTCGTCATTGAGATCCATGATGCAAAGTTGCTTGCAGAACAGCAAAATCAGCCATGAATCATCTCAAATCTTACAGACTGCTTTAAAATTGTCGTGTCTGAAAAGACTGGTGGTTTTCCACTGGTATCAGTCTAATACCAGTATCAGCTCTCCCTTTAAACTCCAGCTCAGTAAATCCCAAATGACACCCCCAGTCACCACAACCCACACCTCCTCTCTAACCAAGTCTACAGAAGGGCCCAGAGGCACCCAGGCTCTGCCCCCGTTACTTCTGCAGCCACAGGGCATCAGGCATTGTGCTGGTTTGGGCTGGGACGGCAGGAATCCCCAGATTCCTGAACACTTAGGGAAGTCAAGATGCAAAGTTTGCACGGTCACCTGCCATCTTGACGCGCGTGGCAATCCGAGAGCACGGTCATCTCCGCTGGCCTTCCCAGCACAACGCTGGGCAAGGCAGAGCAGGTGTGAGCGAGTTCGCTTGGCATGATCACGTAAGGCACTCAGGTTCCTATTCACTAGGAAACGATCTGACACTGGGTAGCACAGTATTAAGGAAAAAGATTGGTCTCCTTTCCACCCCCACCAAATCCTTTTGCTTCGATGCACTGCCCTAGAAATCTCCTGAGTGGGTTGCCCCGGCTGACACAGCCTCTCCTGCCGTGAATCCCTCCCGCGACCGTGAAATCCAGCACAGAGGGAGGGAAGAACGCTTTCTGTGCAGCTGGGAACAGTCCACGCTCGCTTCCCTTGACTCTGCCTACTTCCTAACCTAGCTGCAAAGCTCTCCCTTTGGAGTTCGGGTAGCTGAAAAAGACAACAACGAAACAACACAGGGGTCGGAAGGAGGATTTTGCTGTGCTGCTGAAAACTGAAGCCCAAATAAGCACTATAACAGGTTAAGTGGGAAAAAAAAAATGCTCCAATAAAACAAGGACTGCAGGTTGGAAATCACCTTGTAATAGGGTTCAGGGGATAACCCAGACTGTGAAGTCCAATGGTGTTGCTCCCAAGCATACCAACTTCTTGAAAAAAGCTCAATTAGACAACAATTGGGACCAGACTCTCTCAGTCCCCAGAGTACAGCTTTAATAATTAGGAATTTCCCACATCCTATGAAAAGAGCTTAAAACACAGTAATTGTTTTAATGGGGACTGCACTTGGAATTCATAGGTACTCATCCAGCTGAAGCTGGGAGTACGATGGCAGGTTCCAGGCCCCAGGAGCCCGAGCAGGCAGACCAGCATCGAAAGCAGGCTCCGGCTGCGTGTCCCTGGGGCTGTCTTTCTCTCCCTGGAGCTCAAGCAACCTGCTGGATTCAACTCAATCCCCAGTCTGTGCTGAAACGAGAGCTGCTTCGCTACCAGAAAGCACAGCAGCAGCAGAGTGCTGCTTCAGGTACAGGCACAGCAGTAAGGCTGTTCTCCGCACCGCTTCGCCCGGGAGAGTCACCAGTGGCCGAGCCCAGCTTTGGCAGTCCGGCACCGTGGCTGTGCCGCGCGTGCGCCGGCAGAGCCTGGCTGGTCAGGGGTGACACGCAGCTTGCCCCAGCCTGGCTCTGATGTGGGGCCCGTAGCCTACCTTCAGCTGCACACTCTTCGAGTGAAACAGCAAACAACTTCTACATGCAGACTGGTCACTGGCAAATTAACTCTTGGCTGAGCCGAGGTTACGCGAGCATCTTTTCTCCTGTCCTTTTTATTCTGAGAGAGTGACTGCGTTGTCTGCACTGTGACCAGATTCTGGAAGTTAATTTTCAATCCTAAAAATGGAGAGGGCTTTTGTATTCTCATAGCAAAGCCAAAATTCTCCAGAACAAGGCAGCAGCTTGAGAAACATATAAACAAAGGACAAATTAATCCCTCTTTACTTTGCTACTCATAGATTTGAAAGCTTGTAGGGCAGAAAATCTTAACATTTCCACTAACGACTGTCAGAGACTCTGAGTTCAACAGAAAGCAGAGTATATTCCAACAACTTGGCAGGATAACAAGGTTTCTTGTTATCATATGTATCACGTGAAAATATTACCCAAGGAGAAATGTAAAACTATGGCAGTTTATCATCTCAGCCAGCTGAAAACAAGGGATGTGTGAGCAACAGACCCATAGCCACGGCACATTTGCCCTGGCATCGGGTATCAGCATACTACCAGCCGGAGGAGCAGACTCATTCACCTGCTTAAAAAAGAAAAGATAAAGCAAAGCCATAGGACCCCAGTTAGAGACACAACGCAATGCTCATCCAGCACAAGGTTGCCTGATTCATTACACTTGAAGGCTGTGGTGACAACAGCAGGTATGATGGGAAGAAGCTGATTAAGTACATAAGGATTCAGCTTAGCCATTAATTTCAAAAGCACAGCAAGGAATGACTCCCCTGAAATGCATTCAGTAGAGGAAGTTTTTTTCCCTGTCATCAAAATGAGAAGGGGGTAAGATTTCTTGGCAAGAAAAAGTAAGAACATATTTCAGTAGATATCATCTGTCTTGCACAAGAATCTTCTGCTGCCAAGGAGTTGCAGATATTTGACAAACTCTGTTCTTCAAACTGAGTTTCTTCTGCCCTAATGGACTTCCACAGTCCCTTCTGAAGAAGGGCGGCATTTTTGCTCCGAAGTGGGGCATGTCTGTGGCGTTATGAGGAGGCAGATCTCACAATCCTCTTCCCCAACAGCAGCAAAGGAATTCTCATCCTGCTGGTAACGCAGCAGAAATGTTGTGTGCCGAAATCAGAGGCTGCACACAGATGAGTATTGCTGGCAGAGGGTTTAATAAGGGCCACGAAGATGATCAGAGGGCTGGAGCACCTCTGCTATGATGAAAGGCTGCAAGAATTGGGCTTGTTCAGCCTGGAGAAGAGGAGGCTCCGAGGAAACCTCATTGCAGCTTTCCAGTATCTGAAGGGGGCCTACAAGGGTGCTGGGGGAGGATTTTTTACAAGAGCCTGTAGTGATAGGACAAGGGGTAATGGGTACAAATTGAAAACGGGGAGGGTTAGATTAAATATCAGGAAGAAATTCTTCACAGAGAGGGTGGTGAGGCACTAGAACAGGTTGCCCAGAGATGTTGTGGATGCCCCATCCCTGGATGTCTTCAAGGCCAGGCTGGATGTGGCTTTGAGCAACCTGGTCTAGTGGAAGGTGTCCCTGCCCATGGCAGGGGGGTTGGAACTAGATGATCTTTAAGGTCCCTTCCAACCCAAACCATTCTGTGATTCTATGATTCTATGCAGACTGACACTGCCAAGGTCTGCTCAGTTTTACCTGTCCTGAGACGTGGGGTGCAAACTACAACAAGAAGTAAGATGGTTACCTCTCTATTCTCTTCTTCAGGCACAGGTCCACCCAAATTGCATCTTCAGTAGACTGACATACTATCTGGTAGCTAAATAGGAAGTGGAGAAGCCACACAATGAAACTCTTCCAATCCCCAAGGCACCATCTAAGTCAAATCCCTTCTGGGTTATTTTTTGCCTCCTTCTCCTCATCAGCAGTGTAAGCACTTCCCTAACTTCAGCTGCAACTCAGTTTTTAACTTCAGCTGCAACTCAGTTTTTAACTGGGAACTGTTGCACTGTTTCCTACTTTGTTTCAAGACACGGACGATGGAACACAAGGTAGGACTGCAGGCTCCGTGTGCCTCCCATGGTAACGCCCAACCCAAGGATGCCGGGGCCGGCGCTGCAGCATCCTCTGGCTGCTCACCCGGCCAACAGCCACACTGCCCAGCCTGCCGTCCTTCGGCAGCTTGGGCAGCTGGGCACGCTCAGGGAGGCTCGACTACCTGTACCACTCCCGCTCCGGTCTGCGGCACGCACAGCTCCCACAGAGCCCAGCCGCAGACATCTGGGGAGAGGACTGCATCTCCTCAGCCGATTGTTCAGATGCCATCTGCTCCGGAGGCAGCACTGCTGTCCGAAGGCCTCCAGAAGCTCCTTTGGTGGCGAGCAGCACAGGTCTCGTGCAGTACAGTGCCCATACAGCAGAGCTGCAGCCAACGAGATCTGAATTCCTGGTTCGAGCTGGGGGAAGAACTGACCCGCCCCCCAAGCGAGGCCCGTGTTATGCTCTGCAAATAGGCCTCCCTTGTGCTGCGGCACTCCATCGATCACGGTGATAAATGGGTTCTCAATCTGCAGAGGCATGAGCTTGGCACTTCTGGATTGCTGTGTCCCCACTAGACAGTTGCAGTTAGTTAGGAGCTTAGATGACATGTAAGGAATTTACACAGGCTTAGTTTAGTTTTCAGTCTCCCTTCTCATAAGGAAAATAAATTACTTCAAAGAGTCTCACCTACTTGACATTAAATAGCTGTATATAGCTGTAGTTGTATTTACCACTGAGAGCAGTAATCCAGTCGCCCATCTTTCACTGCGCTCTTGCTCAGATGGGAAAGCAGGGATTCTCTGCCAGTTACCAGATCTGTTCTGTGAAACTTCCCATCACTAAATACAATGGTTTCCCTTTTCCTGTGTTAGGTACCCATATCTTGTTTTCTGAAAACATTAATTATCTTACGGAAGCACAAAGACAGACTTGAATGTCACACAGAAAAGTTCCTGAGTGTATTTCATTAAGACAACTGCTACAACGAACATGGATTTATTTTCTTCAGGAAGAAACTTGCTCAAGACTTTCCAGGCAGAGCAAGAGCTTTCAGACTTCCTGTCAGAGCATGTTCTTGCTATGCATTTGTTAAAAATAACTCTCAAATGGGTGCATTAAAAGGGTACTTTTTATAGGCTGTATTATTAATATATTACATGCCCAAAAGTCAGGGTGCCCACGAAATGCACCTTGTGAATAGAGGCGAACACCGCCGCAGCACGTACAATCGGCACAGCTGCTTCTGCAGGGTTCCTGCCTCCCCTCAGCCACACAGACAAGTGACGCTCTGGATATTCATCAGGGTGAGGTCGAGGTGCCAGGCTTCTGCTCACCCCACTGCTAATGCTAGCCACAAAATCCCCACGTTATTTTCTGTACAAGTTGGAAAACCAGTAGCAAAGTAAGAGGGAATATGACTTAGTGGTCAAGAAGGTAAAAACACCACTCTGGAAAAAAGGACCGTATTTCTTCTTCTGCCATTATGTCTCTGTGTGACACAGGGCAAATTTTTTAAACCAAGCTTCCACAGGCAGTCGTGAATCGTATGTTCCTACTCTGCCTCACACCTGGCCTGGGGTCTGGCTGCTAAAGATCAGAACTTCTGCTCTGCAGAAACATTAAGCAATTATAGTTTCAATACCATTAAAATTCTCTTTTGCATGCATGATTCTTAAATAATGCTAACTTTTAACATGGAACTAGATGGTCTTTACAGTCCCTCCCAACCTAAACTATTCGACGACTCTGAATTTCTGACAGTCACATCCACAGCACATAAAACTAGTGTTGAAAATTACAGTCACTTAAATCTCTTTGCACCTCAGTTTGCCACCTGTGAACCAGAGGTAGTAACAGCTCATCAATGCCCACTTGGGAAGCCCATGACTACGCAGCAACGAGCATCACTGGGAACCCCAAGTGAACATCCTCCCGCCGTGTTCAGCCCAGGAGTACCCAGCACATGCCGAGGAGCAAGGGCGGAACAGAATACTGAACAGCTGCTTTCTGCACACCAAGCAGCACAAGAATCCTGCGAGGGGCTGAAACCAGTCACTTGGCAACTGTCCCAGGAGCATGCTCTACCCTTTGAAGGCTGAAGCCCTAAACATGCACTGATACACATCCCTGATTTTTTTTTAAAGCCAACAAACGGAGTAAACCAAACTCCTTGCTTTGGTATGCATGGCTTACAAGGAGACAGGATGCTTTGGCTCCACTGCACTGCTCTCTACCACGTCCATGAACACAGCAGCAGAAAGGAGTAACGGGTTGTTGCATCCAGGGTCCCGGCACCCGATAGGAAGGGAGACACCTTGTCAGTGGTTGCCCCAGAGAGTTTGCTGAGGAGCAAAGGGAAGGCCTGTGCTGGAGGTCCTGGGCTCCACTCCTGACTTGAGAGGAACCAAGCAACCACTGATATAAGCGCAACTCCCCCAAACTGCCCCAGTTCCTCCAGAGCATCCAGCAAGCAGATTATGCAGCTATAGGGAAAATCATGGAGGAAGCAGGCTATATGGGCTTTAATTTACTATGCTGTATCAACTCCCATTCTCTGAAAACTGAGGGCTGCCTTATACATGGGCCAGTATTGTAAAAAAGATGGGTAAGAAAATTCTTTAACAGTTCTTTAGCCACTGCTCAAGAAAATGTTTGAGTTCACATCCTTTTGAAAGGTCTTACTCTGACTAATCAGTCACAGTCTCACCAAACACAGAGGTGATTCCAGAGAAAACAATTCTGCAGCATGCATGGTGTTTAGATGTGGTCATGGGCTCTTTAACCAGCAGGGAACCATAAATATCCACATGTTGGGCTACATCCTGATGGTTACAGTGTGTGCTGGCAAGGAGAAAAAGTTTAGAAGCAGGCAGTTATCAAAGGAGATGTAACACCAAGACTGCAACTCCACAAGATGCACAAAATAAACTGGCAATGCCCACTTAATACCAGTTAAAGCACAGGATCACCAAAAAGGGCACGGCTCGGGCCTTCTTCTTAAATGTCCATTTGCAGCTCTCTATCGCTCCACCTAGTGAATCCACTGCTCTTAAGAGGAGTAAGAAAGCAGATACTCCTTCATGGTGCTTTAAACCAGATTCACATATGGTATCTTGCCGCGTTGTAGTGAGATGTCTCACAGTGCACTGGAGTGTGTCACCAGAAGAGCATGCAGGATCATACTCTGAACATCTGCACCACCGATTACGTGTTGTACCTCTTTCTGCGACTTCCAGAAGGGGCAGTGCATTTAACTTGGTCTGTGCATCAAGCTGGCAAAAGTAACGCTGCCCTTCCTTCTCCTTCACCACAAATTCAAACCCTGCATTTGAAGCTTCACTTGGATTTCTGACTAGAAGACATCCAATCCCACAGCAAGCCAGTGAATCTACAGCCACGACACTGGGCAGGTTTGTCCACTTTCACGTACGAAGTGGCTGATTTGGCAAGAAGAGACTCTCTCAGCTCTTGTGGTTTACCAAAATGAGTGCAGTGTATCACACTTCCAAGCTCCAAGATTGTGGAATATGGTTCCACTGCATCTGTTCAGTTGTCTTTAACTGGCTCTGAAGCCTCTTCTAAGCAGCTGTTACACTACTTGCACTGAAAAAAGCGCAGGCTCTCCCTTTACCATATCAACATGCATTTTTCCCCTCAGATCATGGCTTGCACAGCTCTGGTATACAGAACATACGGAGCTGAAGAACCACACTGCACACAGAAACAGCACAAAACTAGGAATCCAAACCCAAGATCACAAATCCGTCCTCATAGTTCCAAATCAGGCCAAACTGCCATAGTACTAGGCCTGTGGAGGACAGGCTGACAATTTTAGCCTGATTTCACAAGTCCCAGCAAAATTACAGGAGTATGCTGCTCTCAGCTTTGTTAAATTAATATGCCTATTTTATCCAATGTGAAAACAAGACACGAAAGAGCGAACAAAGCAGGTCAAACGGATGCCACGGAGCAGAGGTAGGGCTGGGACTAGAAGCAGCAAGGCCATGCTGGCCTGCAGGAGCAATTTATCCCTACGTCAGATGGGGCACCACTTCCAGTATACTGAAACTCTGAGTTCTGTCACTAGTGAGCGTTCACTCTGCACACCATCTCCAAACCCAGTGTATTGTACCAGTGGAGAATAATAATTGTCAACCTATAGAGGGCAATGGAGGGAAAGAAAATGAAAAGGTGAAAGAAAAAAAAAGTAACTGAAAACATTAGACAATATATGCTCTGAATTACAATCAAGTATTTACGTTGTGTATGTCGGTTAATCAGATGTACTCCAGAAAGACACCAGACCCAAAAGGGCAGATTAAGACTATAAACAGACTTCTGGATGTATATTTAGACACAGGACGTAAGTGCTGAACTATGCGAGGATCTAAACTTTTGGTCACTCTGCATGGGTCAGAAAGGACTGCATCAGCTGCGTCAGACTGCCAACCACCACCCCCCAAGGCTGAGACGGCTCTGACAGACGCGTGATTTCCCTCTGTGGCACAGCAGGCTGGTATGAGCTGGTCACTACACACAGGCTGCCATCCCTCTGCTGCAGAACTTTGCTTTCTGATCTCCTGCTGTCCTCTGTGCTCACAGAATACAGTTTGTGTGGATCAGTAAGCTCTCACACCCACCTTCATGTCCTCCAGGAGAGCCTGCGGATCTTCGATGCCTTCTGGAACACACTTCTTGTTCTCTGGGAGAGATTCAAGCTTTTCCACCAGGGCTTTTAAACCCTTCAGTTCAAATTCTGTGAGGTGAGTCCATTTGGTTGAAACTTCTGTAGCTGGAGACCCCGTTGGTGTTTTGGGATAGTCCGTGGGGGTCGTTGATTTTACGCTGTCATCTGACTCATTAGACAAAGTTCTTTTTAGGTATCTCATTACTGTGGCTTTTTGTTTTCTTCCTGCACCCTCCTTCCCTTCTGAGTGCGTGCTGTTGGGTGAGGAGGAGGCATCCACCAAGGATTTGGAGTTCTTATCCAAGCTGTCATCCTTCTCCTCCCGGATATGGGCATCACAAGATTCTTCATCCATGTCTAACCACGAATCTGATGAATAGCTGTCTGTGCTGCGTTTTCTTTTTGCATCTGAAAGTTAGAAAAAGAATGCTGAAGGTTTACCTGATGTCATTCATAGCTTAAACTCTTCTTTACCACTGGGTCTAGGTGCTGCCTGTTTAAAAGGGCACTGGATAAGTAAGTATGTGACAGGAATGGGCTCGATTCAGCCGATTTTTAATGGGGGGCGGGGTGGGGGGGTGGGTCGGTGGGTTGTTTTAATTCTGGTTTTCATTAACATCTACTCAGTTCAAATGACTGGGAAACATTTAGGGAAAAAATTATGCTTTCTTCAAAGCTTCAGTCCTCTATGCCTTCAATTAAGAGTAGGCAGAGCTCTTAAGTCACACACAATTAATTTTCCCGCAAATCCGAAGACGACCAGATTCGGCAGCCTTACAGCTTTAAGAGGAGAGTTAGCACAGAAAGAGGAGGGGAAGAACGATGGGAGAAAGCATGTTAAAATGCTGTACATCATCACTCTTCCAGGAACTCTGCACAGCACAAAATCAACTTCTCAATACTTCTCTTTGCGAGCAACTGTTGGTAAAACGAGAATCCTCACTTGTTACTGCGTGAATACTCATTGCTCTTCTGAGACAGGAGATTACAACAACGCTCACTTTACAGACAAGGAGCCTAAACACCAAGAAATGCAAGGACTGTCACACAGTTACATGACACTTTCTCTTAATTCCATCCCAGATACATTCTAGGTACTTCTCGGGAAAACTGAAAGGCAAGTTTCTGAGCCTAAAGAACTGTTAATCTTAGTATAAAACTAAGCTTCACTGTAAAAATCCCAACTGTTACCCAACCCCGTGCAACCAAGCAGTGGAAGCAAATGTAGGGAACTAGTGGCCAAGGTTCCCTAAAGCACAGGTAGTTTCTTACTTATTAGACACCATTTCCTTTACTAAAGGAACACCACTGGATGCAGGCTAGCAAAAAAAAACAGAGTTAACGCTGGCAACACCCAGTTAAGTCAACGGGAATTTTAGTAGTGGCTGAAATGGGTATGAGATACAGCTGCAAACAAAAACACGCTGCAAAGGAAACAGAAGTCACACAGAAAAAAGCGAGTGAACAATTAATGAAAAGTTCCTTGCCCAGCTTTCATGCTTTGCAGCGCAGTAGCTCTGGATCAGAACTATGTGACTCATGCTGAAGGAAGGATTAAATGGACATTAAAGAAAAAGCTCAGCATCCGGTTGTTTAAGTGTCAGATTCAAAACAAACGCTGAAGCCCAGTTCCAAGCTGGCAAATCCATCCCCATCACAGAGAAGCTCCTTGTCTCTCACATACTCTGTACCATCTTCTTGCAAAACGTGTGTGTTACCTATCAGCTGGGTGAGGAAGACGCAACAGGCCGTGGCAGAGTAGCTGCCCGAGGACGTTTTCTGTCAAACCAAAACTGTGCAGCCAGGTGCACCGCAGTGTGTCAGCACCCACGAGACACCAGTCGGCCACTTTCTGCTGCTCGGGGTAGATGTGCTGTTGCTACAGCGTCTGCAAAAATAAAGCATCTCTGTCCAGTCTACTCCTTCAGTCATTTGCATTTTTCCTCAGAACCAAAATGGCCATAAAATTCCTCACTGAAAGGCATGCTTCAGCTGAAATACTTGTAAAAAGATGAGTCACAAAACATGCCAGCTACCAGGACGGCTGGTCACAGCCAAACCCAGCTCCATCCACAGTGCAGGCTAACCTCCTCCCTGCACCCCTCCAGAAAAGCTTCCCCACAAAGAAGCACTGCACCGTTTATTTTGTGTGCTGAGGTGGGGGCATGCAACGCTCCAAAGCAGCTCCTCCTCTCTGGTCTGTGCTGATACACCCCCATGCTTCTCTCAGAAAAATAAACAGGATTAGAAAATATCTTTATCAGAACATTTAACACCCTCCAGGTTATCCAACTTTTACTGAACAGTTTTTTCCTTTGTCCACAGTAGCTAGCACACTTACCCACCTCAAAAAGCTACATAATCAGCTTATGTCATTCTCCCATTTTACAGCTGAGGAAACAGATGCCTGGGAGAAAGCACGATGTTGCTCATTGTCACACGTCAAATCTAGGACAAAACCAGGAATCAGAATCCAGGCTCTCAGACCCAGGGCTGGAGCCACGTCGCTAAGCCACACTGCCCTGGTGAGCTGTTTCACAACTGACTGCAGCACAAAAGCCCAGTCTAGGTGGGAGAAGATGCCAGTGCTGCAAGGTGAAAGCAGGTACACATCCCTGTGCTACCAGTACATTAACAGAAAGGGGTATAAATATTGTGTTATTAACAGAAATTGGCATAAATCTGCAAAAAGAAAATTACATTTGTGTCTTCCTATGCTGTGGCTCTGCGGAGCCGGAACAAAGGGCTCTAACTGGGGCAAGTCGCAAGCACAGGTAAGGCCTGACAAAAACAAGAGATAATGCTACGCTGGTGTGAGTAATGGACTCCAAGTACTGCTCTGGCACTAGGAGAAAACTGCCTTCAAGAGATCTCTCCACGTTTTGTCTCTTGCTCTAATCTAGGGAAACAAAAGGCAAGCAGAGTGGGACACCACAGCATACTGGGAGCCTATTCCCATCAGAAGGGGGGCAGCAATTCTGTTCTGCCAGCTGCCACCGGCTGTCTGCACAAGACAGGCCCTGCTGTGCCAGCCTCACCTGGCGACAGAGAGACAAAAATCATGTAAATCTAACCTCAAAATGAACCGAACAAGTGCCCCGTGGCCTGTCCTCTGCAAGCCTGGCACGATGCCTTGCCTACCTTCACCTGTGGGGACAGGGCTTGCTATTAACCTGAAGTGCATTTGTCTGTCCTGGAGTGCCAGGGAATTATGGCACTATTGCACCATCAGATCAGGAGTGGACTGCTTTCAAAAGACAACTGGCTGCTACTGCTGCTAATATAAAAAAAAAAAAGCCAAGGGAAACAATAATGGAAGGATAACTCCCACATGAGGAGGGTTCGGTTTTGTCTTTTCAAGTGTTTTGTTGTAATGCAACATGCCATGATTTTTATTTATTCATTTTAACGGACACAGTATCTGACTGATGCTGTAAGCCAAGGCCCTACGTGAGCATAATCTGCATTTACGTCGTCAAGAAGCTCATTTTAAGCACCGTATTACCAGGGTTCCACTGACTTGGAGGCTTCTGGTTTATAAAGTCTCTCCATGGCAAAGAGCTGCTGCTAAGTGTAACCGTGGTTTCTTCTTCTGAGTCAACGCACTGGCTAGAACTCCAGTTTCAGAGGGGTTTTCCAGCCTGAGCTCCCATACAACTTAGTGCAAAAAGACCTTCACCACTCTCCATCTCAAAGCAAATAAAACCAGCCTGTACAAACCAATCAGTGATACAACTTGGTGAAAAGGAGGAGCAGCACAGACTGGACCACAGGACAATGAGCTAGAAATACCTTCTTTTCTATAGCAGTTCACTTCCCTGTGGTTTTGGGCAAATCACTTAACTTTCCCCACAGTTACCTACTTGTACAAGGAGGGTAATTATACGCAGTTTCTTTCCTTGCTGAAAAGCAACTTGGTGTATTAGAGAACTTTAAAGTAAGGGAGGGGGGTGAGGTGTAATTATGAAAGCTTTCTAAACTCTTTAGAACACTCCAGTGTGTAATATCTACCTTGCCATTCCCAGCTCCGAACCCTAACACTGTCACTTGGGAGCAGCAGTTGCTCTTGATCTGCTAAAGACAGCAATACCATTTTAATTAGCAGGAAAAAAGCTGAGCATACTGGAAACATATCACTGCATGGAGCACCCCACACAGAAATCACTCAGTATCGTCCAGTACCTGTCTATCATAAGCAAATCTGTCCTACCCCCTGAGGAGGAGGAAAAAAAAAAGACACGTCTCCTTCACTGTGCCAGAGAGTGTATTTTCTTCATCCATCAGGCTTAACATACCATTAGAGCCATCCTGATAAAATTTTAGCAATGGGAATCTTAAAAGCTGCAGGCTACAGAGAGAGCACATTTTTGATAGCCCAGTATCTTCTCCCAATTACTCTTTGTCAGCTCACTCTCAAGATCCGTATCTCACTGAAGGTCAATTGTGGTTGAAAACATCCAGTACAGACTCATTCCTGATAAGAGTAAAAATAATGAAGACATACCCATCCCGAAACAGTGCCTGCCCAGACTGAGTAGGAAACCCAAACAGGCTCCCTTTCTGATTTCAGCCAGCAGGACAAATGTCACAGTTGAGAGGGACACGGAAAAGAAAAGAAGGGAGTGAAAGAGAGATGGTGTGCTTTTACAGCAGCCTGTGATTGCTGTCGTGTCACCGTTCCCCCGAGCGTTTGCCCTTCTGCAGAGGGATCTGAGAAAGAACAGTCTCACACACTAACTAGGAGGCAACTGCCTGAAAAGCCATTCTGGGCCTGAAGAGTGGGAAAGGAAGCTGCATCGTCATCTTCCAGCCCACTTCGCAGGGCAGACATTTTTATTTAGGGAGTGGGAACATTCATTATTCAGTTTGAGTGGAGACAGAAATACCAAGGGCAATGTAAGTTACTCTACTAGCGTACAGCTGTCGGGACAGAGGTATCGCAACACAATCACAGCAATCCATTTTCATGAGTAGGTGATGTCTTAAAAGAGTCACTCTGAATTTGGCAACCTTCATGTCAAAGGAAATGAATACTGTAATGAAAACATAGTGGGAAAAGTCTAAAGATATCCTTAAAACACAATTGCAGATGAACACGGTTTTCTGCATTCACTGTTCTCTATCACCACAGTCATCTCCTTTTTTTTTCCACGCAGGAGAATAGGATCTTGACCAATTCTATGAAAACTACCACCCCGTGAATCCCAGAGACCATGAGGCAGCCTCCCACGCTCTCGGCTGGATGTCCTCCTCAACTAATAATCAACTGTTGCTTCCCAGCGCCTAAGATCCACCAAGAGCACTGTATCGGAAGGCATCTGAGAAAGCAGCTCAAGGGTGAAAAATAGCAAGTTCTAGCACCCAAAAGCAAAGGTAGAGAGTAGACGTTGGGAACAAATTATGTCAAAGAAATTATTAAATAAAACGAGAGAAACATTAACATTTTTCAGCAGAAATGTCTGAAAACGAGTACAAGGATGTGAAGAATTTTTCCTTAAACCAAGAAGGACAATCCTATTGAGAGGTCTGCAGAGAAGTGAAGTACTTTGTTTCAGTACTCCTTACGGACAATAACGGGAAACTCTTCATCAAGGGATATTCTCTCGTGGGAAATCAAGAAATGGTTTGCAGATAGAGAAGTCTCTAAGGAATAGACAATTTAAGGACCTTTGCAGTTCAGAAAATCTTAAAAACAAAGCGGTGAGGCTCTGGAACACTGACCTCACTCAGAGCTCCTATCCCACAACAGGTAAATGATACTTGGATACAGACACCACGGAATAAACAAGTGTAATTCAAGGATTACAGTTGGTGGACGCTTATTTGAGTCGAGAAGCTGGACAATGAGGTCAATTAAAAGACAAGCGAGTATGTGAAACAGCACGACTCACACAGAGCAAAGCAGCGCCGCGTTGTAAAGGTAAATAACGTCCCTCTACTCCTTTGAATTTGACAAATGCCAAAGTGAAAGATCCAGTAGATACCGTAGATCTGGGTTTTTGAACGACAATCCCCAGTTAAATAATTATTTTTAAGGTTAAGATTCTGCCAAGAAATGAAAAGCAAGTTTCTGACAAGAAGAGGATACCTCTGTCTCTCCTGGAGAGAAAGGCCCTGGATGTCAGTGTCAGAGATTCTATCAGCACACTCGTACTCGGAAGCCAAGCGACAGGAGGCAGGTGGATGAACTACACGCTGTCAGCAGATACCACTGCACTAAGCTGAAAGCACTGATCCATTCAAGGCAGTAACAGCAGCTCAGGATCTGCCCTGCCAGACCCTCAGCACCTACTTCAGCACCTGCAACCGCGCACTAAGGCTGCAAGTCAGATCGGCTCACCAATCCTGCTGATAACATTCATTTTCAGGGGGGTTAATTTTCAGTGGAATCACTGAACTGATTCAGCTCACAGGACAACCGCCCCATCTCTAGAGTTCACAAAACAGAAGAGTCTTGTGAGAGCAGCTTATTTCTCACAGTAGCTTGAAATGACCGTAGGACCATGCCCAAAAAGCAGCAAAGCAGTTTAATATTCAGTTTCCACTTGGGCAACAACTGGAGCCACCATAGGAGACAACAAAGCCCAGGCAACGCTGCCACCAAACCATTTGCCAAATAACCAGGCTCCTTTTCCTGATGCCTTTGCAGTTGGCACTTTGGTCACGCAAAACAAACCTTTTCCCTCTAGACACCAGACGCCTATGGCTACCAGTGAGCTTTTATATGATTTGAGTATCTCTCAGCTAGTAACTGGACTGAGGCACATTTCTGGGGATCACCAAACCATTATCCGTAATTACTAAGCTGGGCCAGCATTCACAGTGGTGATTTAGCTAAAAAAGGTCCCATCTCAATATCCTGAACCATCCACTCTCCACATCTAATTTGTTCTGAAACTACACTTCAGCGATCTGGCAACGCCACCCTGTCTGCACGATGAGCCTCCTTCCATGCCAGTGGCCTAGGCAATGAAAGGTTGTTCCTTATTTTCCAAGAATATACAGTTATTGGAGTTTTGTCACTGCATTTGAAGAGCTGATCCAAGGGGCTAATTCGTCCTTTCTTCTAGAATGATCTTATGTAAAGAGAACAATTCCTCCACACAGAATTCCTGCTTAACCAACCCTTCTGACTGGAGTCTCACAGAGCAAAGAGGAGACAAAATGCGAAGTGCCCAAATTCCTAGGGATTCCAAGAACATTCCCTTGTCTACCTACACAGACTTAGCTCCCTCAAGTTAGTCTTGGTCAGCAAAACTCACAGGAGAGTGATGTCTGTCCATAACTTCTTAAATCCCTTCTACTAAGAATTATGCCAGTAGGTGATCATTTCCCTCCTCCGTCCAGAGCCCAGAGTAGATCCAACCATGCCAGGTTCACTCCCAAACGGCCTCAGGGACCAGAAGGCACAGAAATACTTTAGTTCTCCTCCACCCTTCATGTGTTATCAGTTGAGATGTAGCTGGTGCTTGTGGCACTTTCAGCCATTGCTTAAGAGCAGGGAGGCAATATGGTCCACCCTCTTGTTCTCTTAAGGGAGGAGAAAGAGGGCAGGCCCAGCAAAGGAACAACTGGAATTGTCACACCTTGATGTAAAGCTCCCATCACTCACTTCAGGCCCATCTATCCCTCTCTGCTATGGACCATTTCAGCTACTGTGCAGGTTTCTTTCACCTCCCTACACTTAGGCTATAGATCACATAGATTTGTGTAGATGTTTTCCTGGGTTTGTTATTCTGCAGAACTAGACGTCAGGCACCAAACAGAACTGAAGCAGAGATTAAAGAGAAGAGAAAGAAGCCAGGTTTAGTGACCATAACACGTGCTGTAGAGGAGACACTATAAAAGGACTAAATATCCACCCCACCAGAGCACATTTGCAATGCACACATTTCTGGCTACTGAAGTACTGTGCCAAACATGGCAGTAAATCCTCAGCTGCTTGGCAGATCTTCTCAACACAAACACTACTGAAACCAAGGAACAAACGCATCCAAAAATTCTTTTTCTGGGATCCGCTTGCTAAGGGAATGCTCAATAAATGTAATTCAAAGTAGGTTGGTACTTCATGGAAATGCTTAAGAGTCAAAACCTTCCTCGCCCCAAAATAAAGAAATAATTCATTAGAATTTCTACAGTTCTCCAATGCAATTGATAATCTGCTTTGCAGAAACCAGAGCGGTAACTAGCCTAGGGTGGCAGCACCGGTTCGGAACACGCACTCAAAGGATTCACTCACCAATTAACATTGATTCTCTCTGGTACTCTTTGCTGAGGTGGCAGCGCTGGGTCACACAGGACACGTATCTCTCCAGAACATACCAGCACATTTCATAGTAGAAAGGATAACGGAATTTGGCATGCACCTGAAAGCAAGATCGAGACAGTCAGTCCACGGGGAAGGGAGACAAGTTTGCAGCACAAGGGCCAGTCATCATTCTCATCATGTTATCAAGAGCACAAAACAGTATGCAGGAGGGGGAGGGGAGAGAGAGGGTGGGAGCCGAGTGAGATGTATGCCTTCAGCATACGAAATGAGGAGCCTGCCTGCCTGCCTGCCATGATAGCATCATTTCGTGGTTCACTAATTTGTATCCTCTTGGGGTGGTGGGAGAGGAAAGGGTTTGTGTTCTCGTGAAATTATGAAACTGATGGATGGCCCCTATGGTATTACATACCTACTGTGTAAACATAGGGTGGTCACATACAGATGTTAGTCTCTAAAATTCAAAAGGCTTTTTTTAATTTTCTAAACACTATGACATGATTTTTATGAAAATGGCAGCGTTACCTAAAATGAGTCAAGCAGGAAATACATCTTCTTCATTTATGGTCTCCACAACAATTTGATTAAACAAATGATCACACACATTCAAAGTAAAAATCCCTTATGTGGTATACTCTTAACATCTTGGTAGCGAGTTAGCTTTGCCACAAACAGAATAGAAAAGCAAGATTTTGACAAAAGATCCCATCAAGCTGTGCACTTTTTCTTACACCTCAGACCTGTTCTTCTCCCACAAAAAGCTTATTCTCCAACACTGCGTATTTGCGAGATTATTTCAGATTCAAAAGTAAACAAAGTGAGTTTCCTTCCTTTCCAGCATAGTTTTCTATCCATGGGAGGTCGCTGTACCAAAGAAGAACCTGTGAAGTTCCTAAAATGCAAGGACATGTGTGTATCTATTGTGATGTGTTAAAAACGGACGCCATGCATCTTGCATGCACTTGTACTTACACCCTACACTTCTTTCTCCCGGTGGCACAGAAATTTGCATTTTGCAGGCTTGTGTGCAAGCACTGCACTGGGATTACAGGAACTGCTTCCAGATATTCTATGCATATTAACTGCTCACCTAGCCAAGAGGCATCCACCCACCTTCAGTGGAAAGCTGGACCGCACCAGAAAGGAGCATGATCTTAGAAAGCCATATTTAAAAATACAAACCCAAAACACCACCCCAGACCACCCAAGAAAACCAGTGAAGTCTAAACAGAACCACTGACGCAGCACCTGGAAACTTGGGTTCAGCTCAGCAAAGCAGGCGCTGCCGAAACAACTGCGTGGCGATGTAAGCGCTGAGCACACCAAATAAACTGTCCCCAAGGTGGACGAAGAACTTGCTTCTGTTCCCATGGCACAGGAAGTGCAAACACTTTTAGCAGTAAAACAAAATGTAACAATGGGAAAATATACTGTACTGTCCCACTAAATCTATCACAGTGTAGGATTTAAATACCCCACGGCGATTCCCAGAAGTTAAGAGCTCTTGAATTCCACACCAATGGAGCTGGCAAATCTTAACTGCACGTTGCTATGGGTCTGGCACCCAGCAACACTGCACCCTTTCAAATGTTACCCTGTGTTGTTCACTACAGAGCACACACACCAAAACACAGAAGGATAAAAAAAAAGCACGAACCAAGCAGCATCCCCCTAAATGTGAGAACATTTAACCCAGGGCCTTTTTGCATTGGAGAGTATCTTTCCTTCAGTTTAGTTATTTGTCATAAGGAAGAGATGGAGTCACTTATCACTATTACGGAACACAAGGGAAATTAGCCATGCTAAAATATATGCTAATAAAGGAACTCAAATTTTTCCAAGAGAGCACTGCAGGAAACAAAATTTGCAAAGAATTGACTTACAAACAGGAAGCCGCCTTCCACCCCTCAGCCTTCAAAAGGTTTTCAGCCACAAGCCTGGGAATATTAAAGACATCATTGCTCAACATTTGTTGACAGATTCTGAGCTTCACCAAATTTAGTTGTTACCAATGTTAATTCAATGTGAAAGACAAGGCAGTAATGCATGCAGTGCTCCCATTACGTGTATCAATCTTTAATATTCAATTTGAGTTCCTAATTGCCTCGCTATCCATGCTCCAACCCACAGCAAACCCCTCCATGCCTCTGCAGCTCACTACTTGCCCGAGAAAGCTCTGCTTTCACAACCTGCAGCAGTAAGAGCTACCATTCGTAGCAAAGATACCGTGCAAAGATCTACGGCGCCTTCTGCCAATAACGCAAGTCTCACAGTGCTTTAAAAAGCTTTGAAACTTTGCCTTCTGGAGAAGTAGAGAGGAGTACGCTCTTCGTGATATCCCTGGACATTTACTAACTATGGAGGTGAACTGCATCCTGTAGATGTCCATACTCTGTCCATTGTACACTTAGGGTCAAATGAACTCACTGGGGGTGGGGTGGGGTGGAGGAGGAATAAAAGAAAGAAAGGGAGAAATTAAAAGTGTTCTGTGATCAATTTGAAGTGTAATATCTGACCCGGACACTGCCAGAGGACTAAATTCCCTACCAGCAGGGAAATAAACTAGATCATCTAATAGGCATTTCCAGCTCTAACTTCTGTGATTAATAATTTACAATTCACTGAATAAATTTTTTAATTATTCCTGTACAGTGAGAAAAATCCTCTCTGGAATATGATCCATTTCTTCAGCTAAACTGAAATTATTTGGAGACTTATATCCCTCTCCAAAAAACAAAACAAAAACCCTAAGCAAGTAAGGCACACATTTTCCTTAAGACAGTGTTAGTCTCTTCCACGTCATCCATTAAATCATTACAAACTCCACTTGTGCTTAATCCATCTAATCACAACACTGAAAAACAATTTCTGATTATTTACAAAACAATTAATCTCTCCTCTTCAAACACCTTCTTCCATTCCAGAAAACAAAAATCAGTAGCAAACACAATCATCTGTGAGTGACCACCTTACGTAGGTATTTGGGTGCTTTTGTCTCTCTCCATGTTCAAGCATTTTACACAGTTAAATTTAGATGAGTTGGGAGTAAGTTTGACACATTCTTCCTCTTCGGCAATACCGAGCTGTAACACCCCTATGCCAAGATGATGAATCTCTGCGTGGCAGCCTGCTTTGCAGTTATTCAAGCTGGTCTAGCAGAGAGCTAAACAGCTTGGCCTATTTGACTAGCCATTAATTGGCCTCCAGGAAAGCCAGACTGCAAAATGAGAGTCTCTACAAACTGTAAGGCTGGAGAATATTTGTTTACCTCAATTGCACATTAGGAGCTGTTTCCAACAATACACATGTTTTTTATTACTCCTTAAAACTATTTTTAAATGGCTATAACCCTCTTAAAAAGTCTCCCAGGGATATGAGAAATTAAGCTAGAATAAGCATGACAAGTATATAAAATAGGCAATTTTATCAGGCTGTAAATCAGCATTCCCATTTCAACCATGTATTTATTCTTGTCTTAGCTGCTAAGACAGTAACAACTACACCTAGCATAAAAATTACTGGGAATATCAGCAATCAAAGATGATTAAGCATTATATAGCAGGTTTAAACACAGTGAAACCTCCATGAAATTGCTTTGTGGAAAACGAAGAGGGGAAACACACCTGTATTACACTTTGATGGGAGTGTGGCAAATTACTTCGTCAATCACATCGTGTAATTTACTTCTGAGCTATACACAATAGAAAGATCAATACTGATGAGAAACTCATTTGCAGTATGTTCACACTGGCAAATTTGTGTGAACTACCTACTGTACCCAGCCTGCACACCAGCCAGCCTATGAATAGAATTGTTTCAAAGACATTATTTGCTTTGCCAATCACATTTTGTAAAGTGTACACACTGGAATCCTGTTTGGAAAACATTTACCTCTGCAAGATTCCTGCATGATATTTTTAGGTTCGGGGGGTGGGGTGTTATTATTTCTAAATGGCAGTATTGATTTTCCTGCCTTTTATCAAACTTCTGATTGTCTTAGTTGCACGGCTTGTGTTTTGTTTCTGTCTAGAAATTCTTTCTCTTCTTCAACTGTTGACAACAGCTTTCTTATTACCCGGCTGCCTACAAGCCCAAGCCTGTGAGCACAGGTACAGGCTGTGCGTCACACACTGCCAGCACACATACAAGCGCTGAAATGGTTTCGGTGAAGTCGTGGAGATTCTGGGCTGTTGGCTTCCGTTAGTCTCTTTTTTTAAAGCACTTTATTGTTTTCTCTCCAAAAATACTTAAGAACTACACAGACTGAAGAAAGTCTAAACCAAAAATGACAAGAGCAACAGTCTGATTTGGCATTTCCAAGTGTCCAGCAGCCCCTTCCAAAAAACCCCGTCAGGACCTTGTCAAAGAGGCAGATAGCCAGCTCACAGAACCTGCCCAAAGGACCACGCCGCGAGTGACTTTTCAAAGGCGTTTCAGCCTAACGGGCTCGGTAAGTTCCTAAAAGTTACCAAAATACTCAGCTGTTGCGGGGAAATCTGCCTCTTGGTGTAACAGCTTGGGCGACCAAAGCCGCACCCAGCTTCCCAAGGAGAAGGGCCTGACATGAAGCACTGCCCAGCAGTTACAACCCAGGGCTGTGATCTTTGGCTGCTCAAATCCCGCGGGAACAATATGTCAGCTCTTCCACTACTTCAGGAAAAGGAGGGTTCCCTTCCCATCTTCCCCACAGACATCAATGGAAACACCTTGTTTCTGGCATCAATTCGTTCTCCATGCAAGCTGCCTGTGCTGGCAGCATTCCTGGCAACACCATGTGCCCCTCCGGAGCACCTGCAGTGTATATACCCAGCAGAGTTCCTCCTGATGGTCACTCTGACACCCCCCCATGCCCAGCACCTCTGTCCAGCTGCAGGGACCCCCCTTCCTGCTTCTGCCATCACTACCTTTTCCGGTCCCTCTACTCTTAAGGCACCTGACATTCTTGCCTTGGGACACTCCAAAGCCAGGCTCAACCCCACCCTGGTCCTACCCCCACTTCTGCTCTCTGCTACATTCCCCCTGTCCTAATTCCCCTAATTTCAGCTCTTGTCTTCATCTCTCTTCCACCGAGAATTACTTTTTCTGTTAAATATTCCTTCTCTTCATTACAGTCACCCCAGGAAACCAACTGCTCCCACCACATTTTGCAGCGTGAAGTGAGGAATCAGCCCCTCCCAACAGAGCGCTGGCAAAGAGGCTGGGGGCAGGACACCCTTCCTCTCGCTGAGTCAAGGACACATTTTGAAACAACACATGTATCTGATTCAGGCCTGCGCACTTCCATTGCAAAGAGAGTGATTTGGGGTAAAAGCCCACTTGGAGCCAGAACTGTGGCCTCTTGTAGAGGTGAACAACAGTGAACTGCACCGATGCCCCAGACATTCCGTTTTAAGACTCTCTTAGTGAAGAGGAGTTGCCACTTCCTGCCATTCTGCCAGCCCAAATCTCCACTGTCACTGTAGCTGGCACCCGTGGCAGTGGTTTACCAGCACTCTCTCAGTGCAATGTCCCCAAAAGAGTCAGCCACAAAGTCCCCATCTGAATCTGCATCCCACTGGTCCGTTTTTGCACCAGCATGCTAGGATGGCCTGGCACTGCTCATTTAACAGCCCACAAAACCCATGGCACTTCCTTCAGATTCCGCTACGTTACGAAACTGCAAACTATATGATGACTATCAGGATATTTGGATTATCAGGAAGAAGTTCTTCCCGGGGAGGGTGGGGAGGCACTGGGACAGGTTGCCCAGAGAAGCTGTGGATGCGCCATCCCTGGAAGTGTCCAAGGCCAGGCTGGATGAGGCTTGGAGCAACCTGGTCTAGTGGAAGGTGTCCCTGCCCATGGCAGGGGGTGGGACTGGGTGGGCTTTAAGGTCCCTTCCAACTCAAACCAGTCTGTGATTCTATGATGAGGTGGCCCATATATTAAGGATAATTTTTTCACTCCCAACGAAGAGGCCGCGCAGTAACCTCCTCCAAGATGTAATACTGTCTCCCATCAGGTGGATGCTACAGCCAGATGAACGTCACAGATTAACAGCCTGCCCTAGACTCTCTTTGTTCCAAGAAATTCTTGCACAGTATCAAGTCACCGTAGAAGAAAACCCTGCAGAGTACATAAGTCATTTCACACACAACCTCTGTGCAGCTCTGTCAACTCAGCTGTGGACAGCAGAACCATCCTAGTCCCATTCCTCCTCCAGGCTCGGGCATCCGCTCCGGGTGTGCAGGGAGCAGGGGGTTACCAGAAGTACTGGTACAAAGGGCTGCAAAGCGCAACATGTTTTTGTGCAAAAGGGAAGATGTTTATGAAAGCTTAACAGGCAGACAAAAGACACAGAAGGGACACGTCTGTGGGAAGTAGGGAAAAACAGATGAGTAAGTCCCACTAAAAATAGCCAACATTTGAAAGTCTCATTACTTCACGTTTACCTCTTGTTTCAACAACTCTGACACGGAGATCCCGTCAGTTCTTGTTTGTCAGAAGGGAATATGAGAAAGAGACTATGACAGATCATAGTCACAAAGAACGGTTCAGTTAAAAAGAGAATCAAGCATCCTTACCCTTGTTCTGTCCTCAATTTCGTAGATGCGAAGCTGCATGGGAACATTAAAGCTATGCAGGATATTTCCACCAAACACCAGAGAATCTACTGGAGTATAAACCGCATGTATCCACCCTAAAGAGGGAAAGCAAAGAACTGAGAATGCCTCATGCTACGTAGTATTACAGAGCAATTCATAACCAAGATTTAACAACCCCATCAACCCCATTCTGCAGGGGACGAGGTTTAAGCAGCGAGAGGTTAAATGGTACACTCGTAGCCCCACTTTAAGACTAGTCATAGCAGAAGAACGGCATCTTATGATGTACAGTCTTACAACCCCCTGTAAATCGGGTTCTTCTATTTGTTCACAGAAGAGTTACAGTGTTCACTGAGAGCACACAAGCTTGTGACTCAACCACATCCATGACTAAGAAGTAAATTCAGTCTGTTCGGTACGCTGGGCTCTCAGATGTATCTACTGGCACCTCCAGAACGGCTGCAAATCGTCGTGGTGGTGGGCTAGGGCTGCAGAACTGGTCTGAGTCACAAACTTCTTTCACACCAGCACCACAGCATACATCTGCAGATGCCGACAATTGCAGGTTCCTACCAGCTCTCCTTCCAAGTTTCATATCCTATTAGCAACTTCCTGAAGAAACTGAAAAATCTTGTTCGCTGCAAGCCCCAAGTTAAGGGACTTAACATTTCCAGATCTGGAGCTGATGAGACTCTTCTGACCCAGTCCTGCAAGGGACTGAATTCCTCTCACAAGCTCCAAAGCGAGGAAAGAATTTTCTAGCTCAACAAAAATCCAGGCATAGCAGTTCAGGCAGCCACACACCAGCTCTTCTGCCTTCTGCATTGTTTGCTTGGTACGTCAGGACTGGCTGTGCAAGACTGTAGCCTCTGATCTCTGCAGTGAAAAAGGAATCGATCCTGCTAATGATCTGGGACCCACAGAGACCTGACACTTTTTTTTCTTCTTCTTCTTTTTTTAATGAAAAGCATTACAATTTATACACCAGCAGACAGCAAAGCAACATAGGGGGCAGTCAATTTTCTCCTAACTGTGCAGTACTTTCCATTAAAGCTGTGGCAGCTTTCCTTCACTTCAGGATCAGCGAGGGAGCAGGAAAATGCCTTTCAGCCTAAAGGGTTCTCCAGTTAGCAGCCACGAAAGCTCTCCCCCGCACCAATCCTTCCACCACAGAGACCTGCAAAGCTGTATCTGAGAAGTCCTTGGGCCACAGCAGAGGGCAGAACCGGGGCTTTCATTTAAGGGCTTATCAGTAGGAGAGAGACACGAGGGAAAAGAGTTCAGCACTAGAAATCTCTCCCTGGAAACACAAGCTCATCACTCTGGATCCATTTTTTCTGAATTTCAGAATGACGGGATGGCTGAGCTTGGAAAGGACCTCTGAGGGTCACTGGTCCAACTCCCCTGGTCCAGCAGGGCCACCTAGAGCCAGCTGCCCAGAACTAGGTCCAGATGGCTTTTCGGTGTCTCCTTGGATGGAGACTCCACAACCCCTCTGAGTAACCTGTTCCAGTGCTCAATTTACAGCTCTGATTTCACGTGATCAATGCGATGTGTATAAAAAGTAAGTGGCTCAAAGCTCTGGCATCTCTCAGTATTATCGCATCTTTCCTGCTCCAGACACAGAGTCACTATCAACGATCCAGTCCATTTTTTACTTCCAAATCAAGAACAACCAACTAGAGAAGACTTTTTTTTTCCATGTAAGGGTGGTATGGCAACTCCATGCATCAACACTATAAAAATTCTTCACAACGGAAGTAGTTCACCACCTCACACGAAATACATCAGTCTGTACAAAGAGCAAACTACTAGAAAAATAAATTATCTTCCCGATCCTAGTCTTTGGGAAGCAAAAAAGATCCAAGGTCAAGGAAGCTGGGACTACGGCTTCCACTAGGTAATCAAGGATTTATGTGGCTGGGGGAAAGAACAGAAACCACATGCTTAGGCCAATCTCTTGCTGAGTCCCCAAAGCCAACCTACTGGATAGGTGCTGAAACACAGGGTCAGTCTGAGTGGTAATTCAGCTTAATTGTCAGTGTTAGAGATGAACCAACCAAAGCTCAAAGAAGTGAGATGACTGTCCAAAGCCACACAACTGAGCGGGGGCAGGAGACAGGTCAGAAATCGCCAATTAGCAACAGAACACTGAGGAGTCCTCACTGCTTCCCACTGCAGTTCTCAGCACAGATCAGTCAGTGTACAAACACTGTTATTTTAATGGAATGAACAACATTATTCTAAATACAATTTGCTATCAAACATTTACAACTTAAGTAAAAGGAGTAACTGAGCTGAAACCTGGCTTTCTAGTTCTATATGAAAGGCAGAAAGGAGATATCCAACATGAAATATCATTGAGAAATATCATGAAATATCATGAGATATCCATTCATAAAATGAAATCACATCAACACAGTTGTTCCTCGAGTGTATGCTTTGACTACAATCACACAGCAGCCTCCTCCTACAAATTATACTTCCTCAGAGAAAATGTCACACTGCAGTGCAGTTGGTTTCACTGTTTCTTTCTCTTTGGGCGTTTCAGTCTCATCACACCTTCCTTGACCTTTCGACTCTGCTCCCAGGAGATGCCAAGGGCATGTGTGTTAGTAACCTCTAGACTGCCTCCGCAGCAGTCCCAGCATTTTGGGGAGGAATGTGAAAGGTTCTATCTCTGGCTGGAGTCAACGTTCTAACAAATGTGTCCCAGACATGGCAAACCCTGAACAGAAAGATGAACGAACACGAATATAGTTTCAGTCCTGTGTTGGTGAAGAGCTGGTAGAGGTGCAAACTGAAAGTCTTCCCTAAAGTATCTGAGGTAACCTCTGGTTCTGCAGATAAGGTATTTAATTCCCTACTTACATTTATAATCTAGGTCTAAACTCATCTCACAAACAATTAGTACCTTCATCTCCTAACTTTTGAACTAACAGCACTAGATCCTTCAAGATGCAGGTATTCTAGTAACAAGACTGGAAATACTGCTTTTGATGACACAGTTCTCAATAACAAAACCATGTAATAACAAAGCTCCAAAATCCATCAAGGTTGGGGAAATAAAAATAAGCCAGAGACCAAGCATCAGTCATTAACTGTGAAGTCCTTGGAAGTAAAGTTCCTACCCATAGCCAACACAGTGCGTAGGGTGGTCTCCAGGCACAGCTCAGAGAGGAGCAAGGACAACGCCCACGGTACCATCCCTCTGCTGTTGAACAAGGTTGAGCAAGGCACAGGGCAGAGACCCAGGGAATCCCCAGATCCCCAGCAGTTCATGTGCTCCCACAGGCAGGATCCAGCTCGCAGCCCCTCTGCCAGCTACAGGACACAGCCCTGAGACAGGAGTCAACCGCTCATAAGGCAGATTTTGGCCACTCAGCTTTTTCAGGCACGCTGCATCCCAAAATAGTTTTGCCTTGCCTGAAGAACGTACGTGTGATATTGGAACTGCAGTGACACAAGCACCAAGGGTGTATTCCAGGGACACAGGACACTATGGGCAAGATTAGACAAGAAAGGTGGAGAAGTGACAAGGTAGAAAACCCCAGTAAGACTGGCACAGAGGTTGAAAAGGGGGAAAAATAAAAATAAATCTCCTGTTCTAATATTACCAAGACTGTGTACAGAGAAAAACTGAAGAGGCCAGCACCAGAAAAGTAAAGTAGGAGGAAACAGACGAGCAGGAAGCAGGAAACAGTTTCCAGGAAATGGGTTCTGAGAGCAGACAAGCTTGGATGGCACACTCAGTTCATCCCACAGCTTCGACACAAGCACGACTCGGCAACAAACTGAGGAGGAGGATGTTCGTTGTGAGCATCTGCAAACAAGACAACCATCTTCTAAGCTTCCCAATTACGCAGGTTTGTAAAGAGGAAGACAGACCTCCAGAACAGGCACCAGCCGCACGTACGCGTAAGACAAAAAGGACGGCCAAGGGGATTGCTTCCGCAACATCCACACCTACACATCCCGCCGGCCCCACCTTCGCTGTGCCGTTACTTGTCGAGGGGCTGACAGCTCTGCTGGCATGTATGACCACGTCACCCTCTGCCGG